GTTCTACCACCGGAGTTACGCCGCGTGTGTTTGATCCTTTGGTGGTGGAGTCCTGCACGGCTCCGGATAAGCGTCTCATCTAGTCGGCCCTTTTATGCAGTTGTTTGATTCCCGTTTTGATTTCTCAAAGTCCTTGTTGCCTGTGACTGGAGTCCGTTCTGTGGTCCTGCGCCCTGTGTGTGCGCTCCTCGTCCACTTGCTCGTCCGCGCTGTGCACCTCCCCGTTCTGCTTGAGGGGGCTGGTTGCACCCATTGTTGCATGGATGGCGCCCAACATCCGCTACCTAACTGCAATGGTGCCCGCGCCTCACCTGCACCGCACCTGCCTGGTCGTCCGCACCTAGCAAGTTCTAACGTTCGGGAGAGCGCGGGTGGGAGCGCTCCTTTGTGACGGTAAGTGCTTTGTGGCTTGCCCACCCTCGAGCGAGTTGAAGGCCAACAGTCCCCTCACCATGCACTTGTCACTCGCCATCCTCCTCAGTCGCTGAAGCCTCCTGCTGCACACGAGACCCCTGTTGCTGCCGGTGCACTTGCTCTTCACCGTACTCCCAACACGTCCCCGTCCCGTGTTGAGCCTTCTACGGGACGGCAGGGTCAATCTCCTCTCTTCTCCGGCTCGCGTGGCTGCGCCCCTGTTGTGTCAGCGACGCATCGTGATGCGTATGTGTTCACCCGGGCCCGACCGGCGCATGTCACCCGGTCGTCGCGATCGTTCTCCGAGGAATTCACCAGATTGGCGCGGCCTTTCCCAGCGCGCTGTCACGGGCCCCCCAACACTGACGGTTGTCATGCGCCGAGTCTTCCTGGGCGCCACCTCGTCGCTACCGTGCGCACAATGGTTGTGCTGCGCAACGGAGAAGCTCTGCTCTCCCATGCGCGTGGCCAATCGTCGCTGGAGCAGGCCGTTGCCGCGGCATCGGAGGATGTCTTGGTGCACGTGCTAGCGCCGTCTCCCCATGGGCCGCCTGCCCCTTGGTTCGTATTCTCAGCACTCCCCTGCTGCTGCTCCGATCCCACACAAGCTGCCCTCAGGTGGGTAGGAGGAGTGGGGACGGCACCGTTTGTATGCCCATGAATGCATGCGGCACACGTCCACCGCATGACCCCCTTGGCGCAGAAACTTGTGACCTCCGTGCCTCCAACAGAGGGTTTTGGGGGAGAAGAGCACAAGTTCCAAGGTGGGTACACTCACTAGGTTGTTGAGGAGGGCGTTCGCCTGGGCCTGCTGCAGTGTGCCAGTCCATGGCTGGCGGCATAAGTGGAACAGCTTCTTCTCTTCCCTGGAGGCAGATTCCGCGTTGTGTAGCCATTAGCCTGCAAGGACCCTGCATGGGCGGCAATAGTGGAACAGCCGGGGGGAGCAGTAGCCGTAGATGTCGGGTGCCGCTGCCAGTGCTTGGCTCCTTGCTCCTGTCCGGCGCCTTCACAGCCCACCGTACCCCATGGGACGCGTTGGGGTCGTCACTGTGATGTTGCACATTCAGACCGGCCTGTGGCAGGCTGGCGGATGGCGAGGCCCGCCGTAAGTCTCTTCCTTATTGCACCACGAAGCACCCATTCGCCTCGAGTCTGGTGCATTTGTGCGACCTTTCCCCGTGCCGCAGCACAATAGGCGGTTGGGGAGCCTGGGGTTGTGATGTCCGTGTTGTTGCAACTATTGCACACACTGAGAACCATTTGCAACAAGGCGAGGGCAGAGGCGAAGGGGGCGGGCAAGAGTTGCAGGGTGGCGGCAAGGGGCGCAGCGAACAGCAGGGGGCCCCTTGGGTCCCCTTGGCGTACCACACGTTCGCTGCTCACATGGTTGGGCGTCCGTGAACACGGCCAAGGATTGGCCCTAAGACATCCGGATGGGGAGGAGCAAGTCCAGGGGGGTGTTGTCAAGGCGGGAGACCCCTCCTTACGTTCCACTGCATTAAACATGTTGCTCACATGACCTGCAGCGCGAGGTGCCACGGGTGCTGTTTCAGGTAAGTTCTGGAAGCTTGTACGTTTGCTTCTGTCCTTCCAGGAATTGCTGCTCCAAATAGCGGCAGCTTGAAGAACGATCAGGCTGCCCCTCTGCCTTACCCCACATTCCACCCCCTCCCCCCCCCTTGCCTTCCCCCATATGTGTGTGTGCGCGCGTGTGCGTGCGTGCGTGCGTGCGTGCGTGCGTGCGTGTATGTGTGTGTGTGTGTGTGTGTGTGTGTGTGTGTGTGTGTGTGTGTGTGTGTGTGTGTGTGTGTGTGTGTGGGACTGTGTGTGCATGCGCGTGTGTGTGATTGCGTGCGTGCCTGCGTGTGCGTGCGTATATGTGTGTAGGTGCTTGTGCGTGCCTGCATGTGCGTGCGTGTGTGCGTGATTGCGTGCGTGCCTGCGTGTGCGTGCGTGTATGTGTGTTGTGCGTGTTTGTATACGTGCGTGTGTGTGTATGGGTTTGTTCAGGTACCTTGATGAGACACTGCGAGTGAGCCGTGGTAATGCTGGTAGCCTATTTGTCCACGTTAGGGATTTTTAGTTTCTCATGTGAGATGCAATGCTGAGGCCCTGAGATTTCAGCCTTTCTGTGCTGAATTGGCATGAATATATATTATTGCTATGTAGCTTTGACTGATTCATCAGCCCCTTTCTACTATCAGTGGCTGTTTTTTTAGTGTGTACACTGATCCGTCTGAGGGATAACAGGTGGGAGACCCTATGCTGAATCTGCAAGTAATATTCCAGTCTCTCGCCCTTAGCTTCCGCTCTCCCTAATCTCACCCAACACCGATGTTTCTCTCGCCTCTGTTGGAAACAATTAATTCTAAGCGCCTCTGTCGTGTCGAAACACCAAGTCAGAAGCGAAGCGAAGTATATCGAAGCACCAGCGAGTCAACCCTCGGAGGTTGAGCAGTTGCTGGAGGTTACGCGAAAGTCAAAGGTCAGCGACCTTTGACCTGACAAGTACAGCGCGACAGCAAGGACACACAACTGACTCGCTACAGAGCAGTTGCCCGAGTCGTCACTGTATCGAACCGCAACAGCAACAGTAAAACAGTTATTGGCTATAACTTTTAATATTCCTTGTACTCTTATAAATGCTTGTATCCTTTTGTTTTATTTAATTATGTTGCCCTTGTTGGAAATAGAAACATAAGGAAATACATATGCTGTTAGATTTCACTGTAGTCTTCCTTATAAGCCTCTAGGGCCTACGTGTACTGGTTCGTCCAGTACACGGCAGCACCTCCCTTTTCCTTGGCTGCATTGACCATAGCAGCTGCATCATGTCCAGGTAGATCATGCTTTCCAAAATTTGGTCCATCGTCATTTCCTTCTCCCCCTGAAGTCCACACCGCAACGTGGGGTTGTCCAAGCAACGCCTCAGCGTCCAGCAGCATATCATCAAACGTGCCCGGTAAATGAGTGCCCTTGTCACCATCACGTGCCATGTTCCTCACGACGCGAGCCATGTGCGCAATACGATAGGTGACGGATGCAGTAGTGGATTGACCGTTCAACCCTCCATGGCCATGCGCATTTGATGGTGCATCCCCGTCAGTATGTCCAGGTCCATGGGCACAGGTAAGTGCTGGCTCAAACTGCTACAGTCCGTCTGACGCGCTACTGGTCGCAATGGAAACCCCAGCGTCAGTCTTTTCCGCTATCAACGCCGTGACCTCAATTTCTCGCCGCAATCAACGGGTCGACCAAGGGTAAGCATGGTTACATATTCAACCACCATATCCCTCCATCCTCCACACAAACAAACTTCAGTAAAATCTACAGCAAGAGGGAGTGTTGGAAATAGAAACATAAGGAAATACATATGCTGTTAGATTTCACTGTAGTCTTCCTTATAAGCCTCTAGGGCCTACAATAAGTGTACAATTATTGTAGGGCCAGAATTATTGGAGTCTAGAGGTTTGGGTGTGGAATTATTGGTACTCCTTTATTGGAGTTGCCATTGTTGGTGGTACAATTATTGGTGTGGATGGATGGGTATGGGCAGGGTAGCTGATAGCATAAAATCCCTGCAGTGTGATTTCATTATCAATCCATTGTTCTCAATCCATGCAGTTGCATGGTTCTCTTGCCATTCTAATTTACAATCAAGGCTTCCGCAACGCCGGCATCATGCCTTTCTAGCAGCCCTCACATACTAGCGTAAGGTGGTTCAAATACTTCTTATTAAGCTTTCGCTATTGCAACAAGTTATACCTAGAGTTCCCTCCTGAAAAGATCCTAAGGGCTTTCTCAGCCCAACATGGTATGAGAGCTAACAGGGGGAATTCAACTACTATCAAATCACCTGCAACATCAGAAGGCATGGCAACACAGAAGGAAAGGAGTTCCTCTAACGGTTCTCCTGGCACTACTCCTACTCCACCTCCTGCCTCTGGCCTACAGACAGAGGAGGGTACGGCAACAAGACCAAGGACAACATCTACCGAGACTCCCACGGATGATGGAGAAGTTCTTCTCCTTCATGTCCTTCTATGAGCAGCACCAGCAATCAGCACCTGCGCAGTCAAACAACAGCAACAACAACAACGATGTTACTCCCATGAGTCTCGATGGCTCTTCGTACGCGGGTCCATCAGCTTCATGCCGCACCCGCAGCGTACGAACGCGGGTCCATCAGCTTCATGCCGCACCCGCAGCCTTCACCTGGACAAGAGAAACCACTGGACGCGTTACAAGTTCAGTCGCGGTTCGCACACGTTCTGAAGCTGCAAACGTCAAGACCTTTCGACGGAAAGGACTTCTTTACCTGGTCGTTCGAATTCGAGCTGATGATGGAAGGCGCGCATATTCTCGGCTTCTTTAACGGAACCCTGACATACCCAACAAACGGCACACAGTATGAGAAGCAGCAGTACACCTACCAGTCAATGATGGCGTACACTATCCTCCTAGTGAACAACACCCCGACTCAGCAGCAGAATATACGGTCTTACCGGGGATACGGCAACCCCGCCGAGCTCGCATACAGCCACTTGAAGAGCCTGTATCAAGCAACAGACAGCGTAAATCAAAGCCGGTAAATGGCACAACTGACAACAGTCGAAATGAAACCAGGCGAAAAGGGAATGGCGTATATCAGCCGCTGTCGCGAATTGCGCGACAAACTCATTCGATGCGGAGGGTCGATATCAGAAGACGCCTTCGTGACAGTCATCATCGGCGGCCTCGGTCCTCAATGGCGCGCCACAAAAGCCATTCTCCGAGCCCACGGAAGAATCTCCGAAGCAGCACTTTGCACGCCGAGCAACAAGACATGGACCTGCAAGAAGAAAGACACAAAAGGAAGACGTCAGCATCGGAATTCGCCTTCCACACTCAGCGACGCTACAACAACAACAACAACCGACAACAACCGAAGCCCGTACCTCCGTTCTGCCACATTGTTAAAGATGTTAGGACACCCACGCATGCACTGCCCGAATCGACAGCAACCAACACCGCCGCAACGACAACTTCGACCTTCAAGCAGCCAAGTCGCTTCAACGCAAGCGAATCCCACCACTCAGGTTCAAGCCTCAACGACATCAACGGGACAACCTGCACAAGGAGCAAGAAACATCGTACGTTGCACGGCAAAACTGACCGACTCATGCATCACCGAGTCACCACCACATTACTCACCGGAAGAGCAACTCGACAACGCCACACCTCGCCGCGAGTCACTTCAACCGAACCCGACGTATGCAGCCATCGCCCAAAGCGAGCCATCCGGGAAAGACACCTGGTTCTTGTACGGTTGTTGCGGGCAACACATGTGCTCCTCGGGTCGCTGTCGCTTCGTACAACGGGAATACCAACTTCAACGGGAAGTCGTCATCACTGTTGCGAATCACCAGAACCTGCGCACACGACGACAAGGCGTAGTTTAGCTTCAGTCACGAGAAACAAACGTCATACTGCAGATGTCCAAGGTCTTAATCGCAGAAGGTCTCGGCTACAACTTACTCAGCGTTAATCAACTGATGGCGAAAGGCATCCACCTCGAAGCAGACAGCACCACTCAGGAGTTCAAGCTGTACCACGGGAAGGGCGGTCTCTACATCGGAAAGGCGATCCTAAAGAATAATGTCTTCGTTCTTGATTTCGTCCCAGATCTCGGCACCGCAGACAGCGACGGGATCGTCACCTTCACCTCCTGGACACATCCACTGGATCTCGACTCCGACTTCAGTCCGGAAGGCTTCTGGTACTCACACACCATTCTTGAGGGAGAACGAACAAGATCATTAGCAACCATTCACTAACCGGCAGTAGCAGAGACAACATCGGCAGCAGCAGAGACAACATCAGCAGCAGCAGAAACAACATCGGCAGCAGCAGAGACAACATCAGCAGCAGCAGAGACAACATCGGCAGCAGCAGAGACAACATCAGCAGCAGCAGAAACAACATCGGCAGCAGCAGAGACAACATCGGCAGTAGCAGAGACAACGACAACAGCAGCAACAACACCAACAGCAATCCCTGGCCCTTCAACACCGTCAGTCCTCATCGACGATTTGCCACCGACACCAGCGCAGCAGCTAACTCCGACTTAACGAGAAGTCCACCGAAGCGCCAACTTCACCGCCAGCTTCTACTCCAACTCCGACATGTATCGGCGCTCACCTGGACACCGCGCCAGCGAAGAAATCTGGCATGCAAGAATGGGACACCCAAGCAATACGGTGTTAAATAACACCATAATAGCAGGGGTACTCGACAAAGATTCTCTTCTACTTCACGACGGCAGAGAGCTCCAGCGAGTCCGCGGAACGTGCTTCACCTGCCCTGAAGCCGACTTACCACATCAGCCGTTCGTTCCCATCTCACCACAATCCAAGCGCACCAGCTTACGCACCACTCGAAAAGGTGTACAGCGACATCCTGTACAATCGCGTAGCAGGACAAGGAACTTACAACTACACCATCACCTTCATCGACGCCGCCACACGATACGTCTGGCATCTGAACCTTCCAAGTCGCGACATGGCTTTCGAAGCCTTCGTCGCTTGGCTTCCAGCAGCAGTACGGGAATCGGGAGTAAAGCTGAAGAGTTTTTAGTCAGACGGAGGAGGAGAATACACCTCACAACGCTTCAAGGACTACTTGGCAGAAAAAGGAATCAAGAGGCTCATCTCTCTTCCCTACGCCCATCAACAGCAAGGTGTAGCAGAAAGGATGAACAGGATTCTCCAGAACACCATGCGCAAACTGTTGTGTGGCATGCGGCTACCCAACCACCAGTGGTCCGAAGTAATGGACCACGCCGTCATGCTGCACAACTTGCTCTCGTCATCATCACTTCCGAACAACGCATCACCGCATCTGCTGTGGACAGGAAAATTGGGCAGCACAAAAATGTTGCGCGTCTTCGGCTGCATGGTACAGTACCGACCCCCAGCTGCACGAGCAGGACGATTCTCCCAACGCGCACAGTGGGGACTACACCTGGGCATCGAAAAGAATTCCGAGTGGAAAATTTTCGGCGTCCACACCAAGGAAACAGTGGCAGCACGTGATGTCATCTTC